TACTAGATTGGTTGGGATGTGCTTTGTGGTGTAATAGATATCAGCTTGAAGTGAGAACTCAGAGAGCCGAGTTTGAATTCCAGTCAAGTTCGTTAGATACACTTATGCACAAATATCCTTGGGAAGGTATGAATCCATCTTCTCCCCACCAGATATGGGTTGAATAGTAGGATAGACTGTGTTCTTTTACCTTGATTGGCAACCAGTCTACCACAGAAAGAAATGGCAACCTACTGTGGGGAAAAAAACCTGCTTTGTCAGTTATGTATCGAAAGATACATGATTGCCCAAGCATGAATCACATATGGCACTTAACTGACTGACTAGATTGATGGCAAGTTCTCATCATTTTACAGTTGAAATAGCTTGATGCAACCGTAAGTTCTATGCTAACAGTTTCTTTTATTGCATTTTATGCATGTGAACTCTCTTTTGGCTTCTTAACTAATAATTAATAAAAAATATACTTATTATTTTCAAAAAGACTACACCTGATTTAAGCCATCTCTCAAAATTTTCATGCAATGTGTTAACTATGAAGCCCAGTGGAACAATAAACCTTCTTTTACCTTCTCTTAATACAAATTAATATGAGTAATTAATAATAAAATTGATAATATTACCTCATCACTTTGTATCATGAACTGCTTTTAAATGAAAGCCAACAGGTTTATGGGTGGTCTAGTGCAGGGGTTGGCAACATTTTGCTGGCTATGTATTGACTTAGGGATTTAAAATCATTCATTGTGTCAACAGCGTATGTGTTTTTAAGTCAAAGTCAATATACCTGTTCTACAATATATTTTATAAAGTAATATATACAATATGTAAACCATATTAATAGAAATAAACTGTTTTTAAAAGTTTTTTATTAATGGGAGTTCAACGAGCAGTTTTGAAACAGCTAAATATCTTCTTTGTGTTGTAGTAGTTATTGGTTTGAACTTTGTGATGTCATTTGCATTGCAGTATCTGTTGACTCATCTATTAGACATGAACCTCCTATTCATAAATCTTCTTTCTGTTACCAAACTGGTTCTGGCATGATCACCAAAGTTAAGCAATGTCGAGCCTGGTCAGTAACGAAATGACTGACCATTTAGAAATATCAGGTGCTTTAAGCTTAGATGTGCTAATAGTCTAATGCAGGGGTCATCAACCTTTTGCTAACTATATGCCGACTTAGGGTTTTAAAATCATTCAGTGTGCCAACAACTTACGTATTTTTATACAAGTCAAGGTCAATATATCTGTTCTACAATGTATTTTATATTGTAATATATAGTATATATTAACTATATTTTATAGTATATATACTTTAATATATATTAAAATTGAAACAGCTAAATATCTTCTTTGTGTTGTAGCAGTTATTGGTTTGAACTTTGTGATGTTATTTGCAGTTGCATGACATTGGAAATTGTTTTTAGCGTGCCATGTGTGTCACGTGTGCTGTAGGTTGCCGACATCTGTTTTAACATACAATAAATATTATTAGTCTTATCATCGCTATTGTTACTTTTGTTGCCTTTTTTATATCTTGAATTTCTTTCATTGGTCTATTATATATATATATATATATATATATATATGTGTGTGTGTGTGTGTGTGTGTGTGTGTGAAGATGATGAGACAAAGTGGAAAATTTTATTTTATTCCAGTTTCACTTGAGAAAGTATATGCTGTCCTTGACTTCTTCAGTTTAAATCAAAGAAAGTCAAAAATTCCTTGGGATCTCTGAAGATAAGTGGGTATCATAAATCAAATTGATTACCCTAGCTTATCACTTTCTGACTTGAGAGTTGAAAAGAGTCTGTCTGCCTGTGTACTTGTTTGTTTTATCTATCTGTAATAGATCTATTTGGTATTGTCAGTTAAGTCAGTTATGTGCCATGCATGAGACACACTTAGGCGATCATGTATCTTTTGATACATGACTGACGAGGCAGATTTTTTTTCCCACAGTAGGTTGCCATTTCTTTCTGTGGTAGTTCAGTTGCCATCCAAGGTTACAGAACCTGGTCTGTCCTGCTATTTACCCATAGCTAGTGGGAGATGAAGAGGATTCATACCTTTTCTGATTAGTATCTGTCTATATTTCTCAAGGATACATGGCACAGTGGATAAAGGCATTGGTTAGATCAAGTGACAGGACCCAAAGAGTGTGAGTTCAATACCCGGTTAAGGCAGTGGAGAACTTGGAGAGGGGAATTAACAGGAGATAACTGATATCCATTAAACATGGCACATGGAACTAGAACAGTCTACCCCAGTGAGTGAAATAAAGGGTTCAGTTCGACATTCCAACTACCTGAAGAAGGTGGAGCGTACAACGGCCGAAATGTTGTAATAAATATGGCGACAAAAATGAGGACACTTTTTTTGATTAATATTATTATTTATTAATCAATGTTTATTTTGTAATATAGAAGATGTTTCTTGCTTTGGTGCCATGCAAGATGCATGATGCATGATACACAATGCATGATGTATGATTAGG